TAAATAAGGATTAAGGTGCAAGTGTACCTGTATCGCACACAATGAAAAACAAAATAAAAAGAAATAAAGAAGTAAAAGATGAAAAATAAAAACATGTACAATCCGGATGGCTTATATACAGGTGGATATACTTTTACGTTAAAGTGTAGTAGGTAAGGAGCAACGGTGAGGTAGTGGTATGACTATTCATATCAAACTAGGTGGTTCACTTTAATCAGGAGTAGGTCTGAACGATTTTTGCCAAAAATCTAACTTGCAATTGTTTTCAACCAATATTGTGATCGCAGTATTATTTTTCATGACCTTCAAAGCTTTTTCTGACACAAGAATAAGCACCTAAAACAATCACATCATTATATTAATTTCTGAGATTTAAAGACTTTGATATTGTGTATAAGATCTTCTATCACTTGCTTATAGAAACAGCTTTAGTATAACCTTAATTAAAAATACAACTGCATAATTACTATGAATGGGAAACAAAAAAAAAAAATGGCAACAGAAATATATTTATTCAAAACTAAAGTGCTGTATTTATTCCTACTTCAAGCACATTAATGGAACATAATAGCTATTACAGTCATGTTATCTTTACAAATATTTGATGCAGTTTTGATTTAAAAACAAGTAAAAATTTGAGTAAACTTTCTTATTGCACAGAACATCATATGTATTTTCTTTATTCCAATCTAAATAGATCAACAAAAGCATAACAAGACTGCCTGGAAATACTTCACAAACTACTTAATCCGCCCTTTCAGCCAGCTGACCACCAATGTGCAGCAATGGATGGGCACAGTGCTATGCGATGCTTTAATAAGGTTAAGAAAATTCCAATCTAGGACTTAAAAATAAAAAAAAGACTAACCGAAAGATTCCCTAGAGAGGGAAGCAGTTTTGAGGTATCTATCCCTTTCCAACTAGCTCAGGTATCCTAGCAAGTTATTATTAAGTAATTAAGTTCTCACATTATCTGTTTTGGTAACTATAAATGTCTCATAACTCTTCAGTAGAACAGCAGCTAAGATCTTTAAATAAAACGGCATTATATTAGGAAAACCAAAAAAGGCTTGTATGAGCCAGATATACTGGTTCACACTCCTGAACAGTAAGCGGCGATCATGCTTCTTAACGTTAGATGCCAGCCGTAAAAAAAAAAAAGAGAAGAAGAAAAGGAACCAGAAGAAGAAAATCATTGGTGCGAAAAGCTACCATCGGCAGGTAAAACCGGTTATTTATAGTACAAGAGCTGGTGTTTGATAATAACAACAACCCTTTAGCAAAAGCTGGATTTATATAATTAATTAAGGTTTCAATATTGGGTTCCAGGTAATCGGAAATAGACTTGTTAGCATCCATTTAGGAGTTAAACGTCTCCTTTAGCTAAAGCTAACCGTTAGCTTATGTGGTGGTCAAAAATATTACAGGGCTGCCAACTTTTCACCAAACCTTGGGGTGAGATTTTGAAATAATTTGGACAGGAATCCCTGTCAGGGTTAGAGGAGGATAGCTGCATTGATAGGTTGCAGGTTTTCAGAAGATTTAACTGAAACAAAGTGCAAAATGTGGAATTATTCTGTAATTATGTGGAACATTTTTCTCACAATATACATTATTTTCAACATTCTGGTGACGGTGGTAAAGCAGAATCGGCCCTTCTAAAATACTTGCATCTGAAATATACTGTAAACTAAGAATTTCACAACTGTTCACAATTATTCTCTGCATTTCTAGTAAATTAAACAATGGGAAACTAATAAGTTATTACTGGATTACTGCCACTAATACAGGAACCAGTGCAACCAATACCTATGCAACCTACACTGTTTATGAATATTTGGCAATAGGCTTAGGATTAAAAATCTTAATTCATTATGTTATCAGTTTTTCTTACAATTGACAAAACAGCTAAACAATTCAGACCTTATAGGAGTCCGTAGATTTTATAAAATCTCACCATGACAGGAGACAGCACTTCTCTGGATGTTTCATTTAGAAGGTGTGATGGAAATTAAGTTTTTAAGCATATTCAATGGACCAAAATAAAGATAAATGAATACAGTAAGCAATAATAAAAGAGGAACATCCCTGTGGTTTCTCCTCTATGGATACAGGATAACTGAGCTGTGCTGCACATCCTCTCCGTATGCGGTTGGTCTTTTCTTGGGTGGCTGATCCTTTGAAAAATAAAATGCAATGGTTCTTTTTCTTTTTGTGGATCTTCAATGGGTTTGAGAAGCAAACCTGAAAGCTTTAAGAATTAAAATATTTGTGTTTTAATTACTCCTAAATGCCAACAGGAAATTATTAAACTAGACTGAGCAATAATTATTTAACTTGTGAGCAAAACTTGGACTAAAACTGGGACCAAAAAAAAGGCCATTAGCACAATTTAAAGAGAAAACAAACCATTTGATGTGATCCTTCACCAGCATTTATATTGCACTCAGGCAAAGAGGGAAGACGTTTGACTTGAAGCTTTTTGATGATTGTTAATCTTTTTCCCTTTTCAGGTGTCTCTTTCTCGTTCATTCAAGTGTAACTCAGCCCCATGTGTAGACAAATTTGAAACAATGCCACCGAAGTGGTTTTGCTAAAAGACCCTGAGGTGCATGGGGAGTAAGCAGAGGGATGCTGGTAGTTAGCTCATTTGAGGGATGGGATATTTCACCCCCTCGACCACAGAGTTTGAGGGAGCTTATTGTGTCAGATCCTGTTCAGGGTCGTTGCACCTGGTGGACGTGTAGGACAGCTTAACTCTCTATGAAGACATGAGTCTGTTTGGGTTGTATTCATACTTAAAGCTGAGACTAAGATGGCGAAGCCTGTTCCAGCATGCACTGTTTGAACAAGTAGGACATTTTAAATGCTAGAGGGATGCTTTCAACTACTTGGAGCAGCATTGAGGTTCCCATATCATGTATTTTTAAGCCTTTTAAAGTCAGCTATTGGCAAGTATGTTATGAAATCATGCCTTAAATACTACAGATTATTCAGTTGTTATGAAATATAGTTATTTTCTTCTTCTAACACTAACGAAAAACACTTTCCTGTAAGCGAAGCTGCCTCTAACTGTCTATGTGCTGAAATTTTGTTTCGTTGTCGTATCAAACCACATCTGAAAAAGTCAAAGACCTTCAAGGCCAAAGGAAAAAAAAAAGATATTGATGTAGACATTAGTTATAAAATAAGTCGAGTTCTGTTGCTCAGACAGTAAAACTCATGAGGATTTCTCAGAGATGCATGAATTATGTGGAAAACCATTTTGTGCATGATTTTGATGAAGGAATAGTATTGTTTTAAATTCCCTATTTTGTAAGACACAAGTTGTTTTTTAGTCTGGCACCCAATTGGACAGCAGTGTTTGCAGTAGGGTCTTGGTTAGGTTCAACCTGTATATTTCGGGAAGCTAATGAGCTCATGGATGTAGTTTAGCCACATGTTGCTTTAGATTAAGCAGTGATTGCCTTTCTTTATTCTCCTAATGACTTTCTGACCTCTGCTTCTCCCACAGCTGTCACTGGGAAGCCATTAAACTCCTGGCAAAGAGACCGGTAGCTTATCAGCTACCATCATTCCCACCAACTCCTCATTCTTGCAACTTCGATTTTACTTTATAGTGCTCTCCATTGTTGATAAGAAGATGAGCTTTGACAGCAACAGCCCAACAACAGACTTGAAAAGTATCAATATTGTCAAGCACGGTAAGAGAACACAGCAACTTTCACATAATCAAAGTAACATATGCCAACAATGTCTCTTTTCTATCAAAGTAAAATAAATATTTTTCTAAATTTTATTTGTTCTCAGACCCAAGTGAGGCCAGCATGTTTTTCTGCTTCACTAAAGAAGTTTCTCAATTTGGAGTTCTGGACCAAGTTGAGGCACCAGAGGATCGACATGGTGGGTTTCAAGTAGAACTACACTCCTTTCTAAAATATATTTTGATTTATCATAATGTTCATTTATCAGTCGTTATTGTTTAATGTTTCCCATTGTTAAAGACACATTTGAATTGGGAATATAACAGCTAGGGCAGGGCAATAGATAAACAGCAGTACACAGGATTTTTTAGTTTTTTTTTTTTTGCTTTAATCCATCCCTGAGAATAGATTACAGTAGAATAGAAAATCCCTTTTTTGTCCCACAATGGGGAAATTGTTATTACATCAGCAAAAGGTTATAGCAGAAGTGGTCACACAATGTGGACCTTAGAAAGTGTATAAAAATTACAGAAAAAATAACAAGGTTAATAAAATAAACAAAAAAAGTGCTGTACTGTATAGTGTTTTACAATATAAATGCTCTGTATCTGGAGAGTAAATAACCAATAAACAGCTGTGGACATTTTTATTGTAATGGATATGTGAAAATAGCAGCAACATCGGAGATGTGAAAAATTTGGAGCTAGAAGCTGAACTCATGCACAGTTAGCCAGATAATTCTCTTCATTTCTCAGTCCATGGTGTTCTTTCCTTTTTCACAGTACTTCTGTCACTTTTTTCTGTGAATGATTTTCATATGTTAAAGACGAAAACAACTAAAGCTGAAAGTCTGTTAATAAATCACTATAAGTTAGCAGAACTTCTCATAACTAGCTCTGAAAATACAATTTAAATTGAATTCTTAAAACAATATAAATTCTTAACAAAACACATACATATATATACAGTGAGGAAAATAAGTATTTGAACAACCTGCTATTTTGCAAGTTCTCCGACTTAGAAGGGATGGAGGGGTCTGAAATTGTCATAGGTGCATGTCCACTGGGAGAGACATAATCTAAAAAAAATCCAGAAATCAGAATTTATTATTTGTTTAACTACTTGTTTGTATGATACAGCTTAAAATAAGTATTTGAACACCTGAGGAAATCAATCAAAGTTTGGTACAGTAGCCTTTCTTTTCAATTCCAGAGGTCAAAGTTTCCTGTAGTTCTTTACCAGGTTTGAACACAGGGAAGGATGTTGTTCCACAAAACCTCCCAATACATGGCCCCGGTCATCCTCTCCTTAATACAGTGCAGTCGCCCTGTCCCATGTGCAGAAAAACAGCCCCAAAGCATGATGCTACCACCCCCATGCTTTACAGTAGGGATGGTGTTTCTTTGATGGTACTCATCACTCTTCTTCCTCCAAACACAGTTAGTGGAATTATGACCAAAAAATTCTACGTTGGTCTCATCTGTCCACATGACTTTCTCCCATGACTCCTCTGGATCCAAATGGTCATTGGAAAACCCTAAGACGGGCCTTGCCATGTGCTGGTTTAAGCAGGGGAACCTTCCGTGCCATGCATGATTTCAAACATGATGTCTTAGTGTATTACCAACAGTAACCTTGGAAACGGTGGTCCCAGCTCTTTTCAGGTCATTGACCAGCTCCTCCTGGGCTGATTTCTCACCTTTCTTAGGATCTTGCATGGAGCTTGACAGTCATGTTTAGCTTCTTCTAGTGATGTTATGAGATGAGCCGAGGCTTCGAGGCG